TTAGAACCTCAAAATAGAGTTATTACCTCAAAAAAGGGGTTCCATGGTCAAATTTATTGGGAAAGCACTAAACCTACATCCTCCCTCTTGGAGATTCATGCATTTTAAAGGCTCTGAATCACTGGTTCTGAAGCTAGCTCCGAAAAGCCCAGCTATAAAGAAGCTTCTTGAACATATATTTTCTACATATCCTTTTTTTTTTTTTTTGGCGGCTGCCCAGTACAAGGATCCGAACCCATGACCTTGCTGTTACTAGCACCACACTCTCCCAAGTGAACTAACAGCCCAGCCCTATTTTCTACATTTCTTTAGCTACATCTCTCAGAAGACTATGGAATACAATCTGAGAAATATTAGTCTAATTTGAAAATAATCTCAAGAGTATCTCTTTAACCCACTGCAGTTCTTTAAGGAACTCACATTTATTTTTATTACTTATTATATTATATATCATATATAACATTATTGTGGTCCTTGTATCTTATGCTTATTTTATATATACAAAGCTTACATCATTGTGCTATACACGGTCCTCACTAAATTCATAATTTTTGACTATTAAATGCTCTCAACCCAGAACTTCAAATACCCTATAAGAGCCTCTAACACTTCACACAAATCGCCATACTTCTTTCTGCAACTTTATATGTGAGGGTACTTCAAAAAGTTCATGGAAAGATTTGTATTATCTTTTAATTCTATTTTTCCACGAATTTTTGAAGTACCTTTGTACTCTACAGCCCCAGCCAAGGAGCCAAACATTCTAAATAGACAAGGCTCTGAGACTACTTCCAAAGAAAAAAATATATACACTAGACTCTCAAATATAAAGCTGGGGCAACCCCTCTTGGAGGAGTAGGAATGCTCCCATTCTGTACACAACAGGACAGGCTAATTATCTGATAAGCACACACGCAAGGCGAGGGATTAAGTTCAAAGAAGACATATACAATGTACAGCACAACAGAAAACAGACCACACACAAACATATCAGCCCTTTAAATTATAATCACCACAATGATTTCTTAGAATTAATCATTTTAGGACAGGGTTTCTCAACCTTGGTACTATTGACATTTGGGGCCAGATAAGTCTTTGTGATGGGATATCATCCTGTGCAGTGTAGGATGTTTAGCAGCATCTGTGGCCACTACCCACTAGAGGCCAGCAGCATCCCCTCACCCCCAGCTGTGACAAACTAAATAGACTCCATGCCTCCAGACACTGCCGAACATCCCTGGGAGGCAAAACTGCCCGCAACAATTCCTGTTGAAAACCATTGTTCTAAGGGAAAATTGCAACACCTAATATTTTTGCTAGAGATTAGAAACCAATATTTCTTTTCCTAAAAATACAAAGCACCTTTTCTTTGATCTACGTTTGATACAGGATGGATAAACATTACACTTCCAGAAGTCTCAAGTTAAAAAAAAAAAAAAAAAAGGAAGAAATTCCAAATGAGAGACACTGCAAATTACATGACCAGTACGCCTCAAAACTGTCAAGTTCACCAAAAACAGGGAAAAGTCTGAGAAACTGTTATATTCTAAAGGAAACATGATACATGACAACTAAATGTAGTGTGCTATCCTGGAGGGCTTCCTGGAACAGAAAAGGACATTAAGTTTTAAAAAAAGAAAAAAAACTAAGAAAATCTGGGTACACTGGATAATGTATCAATATTGGTTCACTAATTGTAACAAATATAACCATAGTAATGTGAGACATTAATAAGAGGGGAAACAGGTATAGTGTTTACAGAAACAATGCAGTTTTTCTGTAAATCTAAAACTGATCTAAAAAAATTAAGTTTTTTTCTTTTTCAATTTAATTAAAATTAAGAGAAGGATGGAAGAGAAAGAGAAAAAAAGAATAAAAAGCATCTCTTCCCTATGCAAGCTTCATTCTGGGAGCCCTTCAAAGGCAAGAGACCTTGAACAGATTGAATTAAGAAAAGAGATCAAATGGTCAGAAAGAAAGTGAAAAATTCCTTTGTCCTCCTGCAATTGGGGAAAAAAAGGATCTATATGTTTTTATATGAACATCAGTATTTTTTCTGACCTCTCCTTTCTACAAGACACAGCTCAAGTGTCAGCCTCTGCCAAGGATTTCCTGCGTCCCTGAGCAGTCATCTGCTCTGCTGTTGGAGCCCCTGGGGCCGGTTTATCTCCCCCAAGCTGGACTGTCACCTGACTCCCCATCCATTCAACACTGGTCTACTGCTCCGCACAGGCTCAGCCTCTGTGGGCCCCTCCCTCTCAGACTCATCCGTCAGTGAATCAACAGACTTTAAACCCACTGCTGAGTGCCCAGTGAATGCTTCTTGAATGAACTCAAGTTGGGCACGAAGGCTCGTACATTCTTTAGCTAAAGTGGGATAGGAATGGGAGGGCCCCAGACAGGACAAAGAAGGAAAAGTCTGATTAAGTCCCCACATTTTCAGGGGTGATAGGAACCACATGCATATGCGCTGAAGGCATGAAGAAGGGATGAGGTACACCGAATACTTGTAACACATAAAGAGACAGGCATTATTTAGCGCAGTGGCCTCCTTTTATAGAGAAACCAAAGCCAGGAGGAATTAGGTAACTTTTTCAGGGCCGCACAGCTAGTCACGGCACTGCCTGAAACAGAAGGAGACCTAGACCTTAAAGCTAAATAACCCACCTCCCCCTCTTACTAAATGTGTGTCTAGGACTAAGAGTTATTTAATAACTAATAATAATAGCTACTATCAACTGAGCATCTGGTGGATGCCAAACCCAGACAAAAACCCCCACGTTAGCCCTGTATTTCAATTGGAAAGTAACACAAGCTGTCACACTCCAAAGTCAACCTTGGACTGTCACACACCAAAATCCACACTCTGGTCAAATGCTGATCTTTAGTACCCAATGCTTCGGCTGTTTCATGCACTAGGCACTGTTCTAAACACCTTTCATGGATAGACATACATTCCCCAGCAAAACCCTACTACCAGCATCCCCATTTTACAGATGAAGAAACTGAAGCTTTATGACCTCCCCAATTCTCACAAGCAACAAGCAGCAAACCTTATTCATAAAATCACAATAGCAAAAATGTTGCCTGCACTTTCTTATAAAAGTAAACACACAATTAACCATTCAACCCAGCAATTGCTCTCTATGGCATTTAGAGAAATTAACGTGTACATTCACACAAAAACCTGTACACAAATGTTTATAGCAGCTTTATTTGTAAGAGCCAGGGATTGGGAGCAAGGACAAGTGAACAATGGTTAAACTGTGATACATACATGCCATGGACAACTACTCAGCAAAAAAAGGAAAGCACTATTGACACAATACATGCAACAACTTACATAAAACTCTGGGGAATTAAACTCGATGAAAAAAAGCCAATCCCAAAAGGTTATATATTGTATCATTCCATCTACATAACACTTTGAAGTGACAAAATTTTAGAAACAGAGAACAGATAAGGCTTCAGGGTGGGGACAAGGAAAAGCATCAGGAGGAAGATGGCTGTGGTTATAAAGACAATATGAGGGATCCTTGTGATGAACTGTTCTGTGCCTTGACTGTGCTGGTGGATACACGAACTTACATGTGATAAAACTATAGAACTACATATGTGCGCACAATTACAACTAGGGGACTCGGATCTGTGAACTGTATCAATATATACTTGTTATGATACTGTATTACTGTTTTGCAAAATGTTACCATTGGGGGAAACTGGAGAAAGGATATGCCTGATCTCCCTATATTAATTCTCAGAACTGCATGTAAATTTACAATTACCTCAATAAAGATTTCAATTTTTAAAAAATCTTGTCTGCCCAAAAGCTGGGCTAGATGATCTCTATTTCTTTCATCCCTAAGATCTGCAGTTCCCAACGTCTCCACAGCCAGTCATCTTTCCACCATACTGCACAACAGCTTCAAAAGCTACAGCAAAATTGAACTCTTGGCAGAGGTAAACTAAGAAAATAAGCCACCGTTTCATAGAATTCTGCATTGCTAGCCACTTTGAGCTCCCTCTGAAAATTACTCCAATTGGGTTTTATTTCATTAAACTGACTTCTGGCCAAAAGACAGAAAATAAGATCCTATGAAATGTTCTGTCTCACCAAATACTCTCGCCCTATCTCCATGTGGCACATCCACCAAATATATACACACATACACACATACATATACACATTTATATATACATATATACATAAATTTCTATTCTGAAGCTTCCTTGAAAGCTGGCCCTTTACACCAGCTCCCAAATGGTCAGCTGCTCCTGGAAAGCAGTGCCAGAAACAGGCGGGTGTGTTAGTGGCTGAGACATACCCTAGGTCAAGGTGTGACCTTGGCTAGTTCCCTTAAACATGAGTCTCCTCTTTCCCATCTATATAATGGGGATGTGACACCTCCTTTGAAGGCTACGGGAAGAATTCAGAGGGGCCATCAATGTACCTGTATTTACCAGTTTTCACTAGTTCCCCTTTCCGTCTTGCCCCTAGAAGAACGGAGCCAGGCTCATTTTATGTTCACCTGGCCACGATGCATTCATTAACTCTTTTTTAATCCCCTCCTCGCTGAGGCTAGCAGATAACCCAGAACACTCCCAACCTGGGCTCCTATTTCAAACACAGCACATCCTGTCCTTCCCCACCAAAAAGGAGAACACAGCCTCCGACCACCGCCCCAGGGCCCCGCGGCGCCCGCCTGACTGCGGCTGCTACTATTATCACCAATGGTTGATGACAATACCCAACGTTGCGTTAGGTGACTGTCCCCCAAGCGATGCTGCGGAAATCCCAGGGCAGCCCAAAGAGCTTCCGAGGCAGATTTCTGGCTAACAACCCCAAGAATGTGCAAAAAAGCTTTCCCGACCAGAGAAAGGCAAGAGTTGTGAAGTTTGTGGAGTCGCCCGGCAGAGGCGACGCTGACCGCGGCTGGATGTGGGGGACCGAGGGCGGCGACCGGAGGGCAGGGGAGGGCTCGGGGCGCCGCGGCGCTTACCCTCGGTGCTGCTCTTCGCCTGGCGGTAGCGTCCCCACAGGTAGTGCTTCAGGTCCGGGCCGGTCCCGGGGGCCGTGCTCAGGGGCCGAGCGGGGCCCGCGAGCGGCCACCCCCGGGCCGCAGTCCCGCAGCCTCCCCGCAGGGCCGCCGCCGCCACCA